GGGTTGCTGGCAAGCATTGTTTTTAACTCATTCTGATATTTCAAAGAAGTAGCAGGTGCTACTAGTTTGCTCACATCAACGCTTAGACGACGGCTTTTACGAACCCCACCAAATCGCAAGACGAACTTGGCACACACTAACGCATGATCGGAGTCCAGGCATGTGCTCCAGAAGGAGCGACAGTCTTGTATGCATCCTCGCCACCGGAAACTGACCGCGATATGATCAATCTGAGTCCAAGCTTGCTTCGCAGAGGGAGGACGCCAGGTAGCGCTACGGCGATGGCTGTGCCGGAAGTTGGTGCTAGCTAGAAATAGGTTGTGATCCGCGCAAAGCTGCAGAAGACGGTCCCCATTATCTGACCTGCGACCATGTAGTCCCCACTGACCACCTAGACGATTCTCCTCTGAGCTTAGACGCCCCACCTGTGCATTCAAGTCCCCAGCCAGCACTACGATATCCCTCCGACCCGCCTGTTTCAAGAGATCGCTCAGTTGGTAGTAAAACTCATCCTTCATTGCATCCGGGCTGCAATCCGTCGGTGCATAGGCAGAGACAACAAATAGACACCGCCTATCTGGCCTACTACTCCTCACAGCACATAAACGACTGTTAATGGGAATCCAGTCGAGCAGTGCAGCTTCGGCTCTAGCGCTCAGTGCGACACCGACACCAGCTACGCCGGATGCCGACGCCACAGGGTCCCCGGATAAGCGCAGGTGGTACATACTACTAGAACTTCCAGATGGAGAGGATAGTCGAAGCACTTCACTGGGATCTTGAATGCGGGTCTCCGAAATGCAGCAGACATCGATAGCGAGGCTTTCCAAAGTTCTTGCCAACCCTGCCTGTTGTCCGATTTGCATCAGCGTCCGAACATTGTAGGTAGCCAGCTTGAACGCAGCACGCGGTTTCAGGATATCTGTGTTAGATGTCACATTGGGAACAACCATTTTGAGGACTACTCACTAACATCTCGAAACGACACGGATAGGCTGGGAATCTCGACAAAGGCGAAAGGCTGTCGAAGGTTAAGAAGCCAAGGTTAGCAAAGGTAAATACAGGAAACTATGTATAAAAATAAAAGTAAGGTAGGAAGGAAATAAGTTCCTTGAGGGATCATATTGCTTGAAATCATTTTAATAGCGCGCGTTGAGTTTCAATGAGAGTTCGTTGCTTTAATTCATTCATTCATTGTGTGCGGGCTGAGATACTGCCCGGGCACCCAGACCGAAGCAGGTGGTTTTCTTAAGGGACCACCCCCGAGCCTTTGACTTGGAGTCTAATCCGCAAGGCAGCGGAGCAGCGTCAGGAGCTGCATTCCCATGGTTTCCGGTGACCCATATGGGTTCATACGCCATTCGATCCGATTGGAAACTGGAGCCCATGTACCCCATGGTAACTGCTTTTAGTCTAACCGCTATCCAGAAAACCTTCCTGACATGGTAGGACCTGTAGAGACAGAGTCCCAGTCAGTCCAGCTTGTTGGGCCATTGCGGTATTCAAGCCCGACCACCACGACAAGGTAGCAGTTATCGGCCGGGAGTCCTATCTTTGGTGTTGACCGAGCTCTATTAATCAAGCTCGCAGTGTGGCCACCATGCTAGGTGGCTTGCCGTTATGGTTCACTGTGAATTGTTGGTATTAGATGGTTGGAGACAATCAACACAAAGCCTTGGATTTAAGTTTTGTGTTGGTTGGCAGTCATCAGCAGGGAGTATCTGCAATCCCGAAGGCACTCACGTTCCTTCTGAGATTCGAAGCCGCATCACCTAGTGAGTGCTGCAGTCAGAGACGTTACCACTGAGGTATTATGGCTCGTGATTGACCTCCTGTAGGACTGCATTGGATATTTTTGATCAGACACTAATCAGTGACTAGTGTTAAGGTCTCTGACCACAGTACTGGGTGATAAGGGTTCGAATCTCAGAAGGGAAGTGAATTCCTCTGAAGTTGTAGGTACGCCTTGTTGATGAGTGACAACTAACACGAAATCTAGGTCCAAGGATTCCTGTCAATTGCCTCCAACGATCTAACTATTTATCTATTTGTACTAGCAGTGGCTATTACACAGGAAGGATTGTCTGTCTGGATTCAACATAGAACTTGCCACCGAAGTGTACCAGTTCGAGTTGCCACGTTCCAAATAGCACACAGAGGTAGACAAGAAGATGAGTGAAGTGAATCATTAGAGTTTGACAAGTATAAGAATGAAACAGAATGGGTAATGGTTTGAGAAGAGTGTCTATTAGATTTTCTCAGCATATCCCTAGGAGTCTCTGTGAGAAGTGAAATTTCCAGAAACGTGGTTTGACACGGGACATGCGGTAAAAATTGGTAAAACTTTCACAATAGTCAGTACACAAAAAAAACCAAAGCTTCTTCGTTTCTTAGAAGCCACTGCCATCCAACGACTTCAAGCCAACCTCTGTATATAGAAAGATAGTGTGACTAATCACTCACTACCTTGGTAACTGTGATTATTTTATTCGTGTGATTTTGTGTTTTGTTCTATTACGTAACATTCCAATTAGTTTTGACTTTGATTTTCACTCAGTGAGTTGGACTCACTGAAGTAAACTGTTTCTAAATTTACTTATTTGTTTATCTACGTCATAATTCTACTTTTCACTCTCACATCCATCATATTGTGTATACATTTACTCTCTTGTTCGATCTGGTATTGTGTCTGTAGTCAATTTTTGTTTGTGAGCAAAATCTGAGCTCTACTCACTTGTCTAATTATGTTTCGCATACTTCCTAAACATTACACGACATCACTGTGAGAAAATTTCGTTGAGAAATCTCCTAATTTATATATTTTTTGTTGTCATTGTTTATGACACACGCAGTTGAAATAAAACGAGCTTATAGTATCTTGCAGACATGTTCGTTTTCTCTTAGTTCAAGTTAATCAAAAGAACCAGCTGTAAGCAAAAAAAGAAGAGTTCATTCAAAGGAAAAAGAAAAATGAAGTAAGTTAATGCTCCAGAATTTGAATAAATTTACCGACACAAATTTAAACAAAAATGAAATTTCTAGTTGAAGGCAATTGGATGCTTTTTGGACTATGGACTAGTCAAATACTAACAGTCTTCAAGTATTGGTTTGTAGGGATCTGACTGATTGCTTACAGGATTTCATCATGAGATGAAATGTGTTGGAGAACCGTTGGAAAACCAGTTGGGAGTACTGGACAGCTGTTCCTAGTTTTTGACTCTTCATCCGCACGTACCCACCATCAGGGTTTGAACCCAGGACCCTCTGGTTACAAGGCGAGCTCGTAGACTTTCAAGCCACTAGGCCCCGATACAATGGCCCGGGGCGACGGGTGGGTACTGACGAAGAGTCCCAGACAAGGAAGAAACAGTTGGCTGTCCAGGACTCCCAAGTTTTCTAATGCTTCTCTAACTGACGTCAGCTTAAGATGAAATCCTGCAACCAATCAATAACAATTCGAAAAATATGCGACAAAGTCGTAATCTACCTTCCCTTTGTCTCCATGATGCTTAGCAATTCATGAATAATCCCCATAGAGGCATTAAACACCTTGTTAACACTAGTCATTCTATCTCAATAAACTATTCCTTCAAAGTAATCTACAAAATGAAGAACAGTCGGTCAAAGACAATATGCTTTCGTCACCTTCTGCATTACTGAAGCTCTAATCACTTCTATTGTCATGGTTTCAACCTTGTTTTTTCTACCAACTTGATCTTTGTTTATTTATTTTTTTAAACTCTTGTTTTATCTGTCAAACTCTAACGTGCAGTCGAACTTTCATTCGTATAAGATTTTCAACCTGATTACAACTCATTCATTAGAATATTCATCTTATTATGTCACTGTAATAACTAGATTCAAGTGCTTTTATGCTTTGATTAATATTAACAACTATGACTATGTAAACTCATCACTTTTATTACTATTCCCTTTTGTGAAAAACATTGTGAATAAGGGGGGATGTATAGGTAAGCAAAATGAATTTGCTGAAAAGAGACTTTTCACTGAACAACTTGTTTTGTTTTCAAGCATTGGTTTTGTATGATTGGTTGGAGGATTTCATCAGGAGCTGACATCCGTTAGAGAACCACTGGAAAACCTGATAGTACTGGACGACTGCTTCGTCCTAGCTTGGGACTCTTCGTCGGTACGCACCCACCGGGTCTACGAACTCACCTTGTAACCAGAAGGCCCCAGGTTCGAACCCCGGTGGGTGCGTACCACTGAAGAGTCACAAACTAGGACGAAACAGCTATCCAGTACTCCCAGGTTTTCCAGTTGCTCTCTAACTGATTTCAGCTCATGATGAAATCTTCCATGCAATCAAACTTGTTTTGTTCTTTACATTGACACTTAGTAATTGAAATTCCATACCAAGAAGGCAGCGTCAAGTCAGAAGAGCTGACTGAAGACAGGCTTAATAAAAATTTTATGCAACTTCTTCTACTAAGACTCGTTTCAGTATTTGATAAGATAGACGCTGGGGTCTGAGTCTTAGGAGGAAGAGCATCACTCACTGAAGAGTTGACGAGTCCTACATTGGATGAGAACGATAATCTGGATTCCACTGCCAGCCCACCATGATTTAATTTCTCTACACATCATTGACACTTCCATACTAGCAGTCAACATGTCAACAAAAAGTGAGCATTTCAATTTTTTTTATTGATAACCATAACAATTTTTCAATTCTACAAGCTAAATATTGGGGTTATAGTAACAGATGAGGAGCCCACTGAAAATCAATACATTTCTTCTCTTCGTTAGTCTTTCTTGATACCTGTATGGGATTATTCAATGTAATGGGATATTTTTATTATCTCGAAAAATACCCATTTATTCATAAGTAAAAACACATATACGTACATTGACTGAGCAATTATTTAGTGCCACTTAATAACCTTTTTCTGTAACATAAATACGACTGTACAGCTTGAAAATGAAGTCGTTGAAAAGATATTTTTATTAGCCAGAAATAATAATACTACTTCACTAACCATTCACCCAAATGAAAGACACGGGTAGAGCCAGGTAATGTGAGCACTTTCAGTTTATTTGGGAAACAGTGTTGACCAACATATTGTAAAGTCCAATCCCAATTGTAATCATCGTAGGTGCAAAAAATCTGCAGGGAAGAAGAAAGGAAGAATTAAGTACATCAAATAAACTTAAATCAGTATAGAATGAGAGAAAACAATCACAAGTGGCAAAAGATTACAAAGTTATTATTACCTCTTATTATTTCATCAGTGAAACTAGCAATATTGAGTGACATAAAGTCTCAGATTTTTGTAAAAGTCTGAAGACAGATTAAAAATCTAATCACCAAAATTTAATTAAATAATAATAATAATAGTCCAAACAGCTTTTCAAGTTTCGGTATGCAGGAGTTTTATTCAATCGAAGATTAATCACGAAAAAAACTTTAGTTGGAAAACCACTGAAAGTCAGAGGGTATTGGACCAGATACCTCGTCCTTGCTCGGAACTCTTCAACAGTACACGCCCACCGCCCCACTGTCATGGGGTGTTGAACTCAAAGGCTATGGGTTACAAGGCGAGCTCTTGGCCAATTAGCCACTGGAACGGAATCTATTGGCTTATCGATTCTAACTTCTACCGACTCGTGACAGTGGCGAGTCATGACCAACTGGGTTAGTCAAGCTGGATGTGAGGACAAATACTGCATATATGTATATATAACGAATTGACAGAAGTTAAAATTGATGCGTGGACAATTGGATTTCGTCTGAGCAGCTGAATGGTATACAACATCGTCTTGCAACCTGAAGGCCCCCAGGTTTGATCCCCAGTGGGGTCATGGGTGTGTAATGCCGAAGAGTTCCTAATTAGGAGGAGACAGCTGCACAGTACTCCTTCTTTTTCAACGTATCTCTAAATGACTCCAGTTAGTGGTCAATTTAAACTCAATTATATTCATGCAGACCAAAACTTGACAAACCCTATTCTAGACAATACGTTAACGTCAACACACATTACAGAATTCCCAGTCCAGTTAAACTACAAAATATTTACTCTTCGTTCAGGACCTTTAAATAAATAAGTATTCCGTAGTATATTACCAGTGATTTTACCAGTTTATCTGGATTCACGTTGCACCTGTTCACAACATTAGTAGTTTTCATGAGTAGAGTAGAAAATACGATATTTGCTTTAGAAACACCTAAGTAATCAATAATACAAACAGTATGGTGTAAAAAAGAAAATCTTTTTTCAGTGATTTTATTTACAATCCCATGTGATATAGATGCGGGTTCTTCGATGGATATTACCCAATCAAATCTTAACGAAGGCATATTTCTTTACTTGTCATACGTTGAAGAAGCCTTGAAAATTTATAGTTATAGCTGTGCTCGTAAAGACACTAATTGTTACGCCTTTTTCCTTGCTATAGTCATTAAAATTTATATTAGCTAAAGAGTACGGAAATTTCGAATTAGAAAACAAATTAACTGAAGACAATTTCCCTCAATAAATGATCTGTCTAAAAACTTAATACATTCAGAGGATTTAAATGATACTTTGAATTTGAAAAATAGTGGGAACTTTTTGATTCCTAGGAGGGTTCTTGAATCTAATGGACACTAGATAATACATTGCAAGTCATTATTATTACTTCCTCAGGTTCTGGGTGGAAGATAATACTTCAGCAGCACACCTCCATTTGACTTTGTTCTCTGTAGTCCTCTACAGCTGACATAACGACTGTTCACAAGCTTTTATTTCAGTCACACAGCCTCCTACATACCATTTTCGGAAGTCTTACTCGTTGCTTCTCATTCAAGCTCCAATCGACGGCCTATCTGCATGCGATGTTACTAAAACGTCTCGTCAGCGTTGTCAGGCTTTCTGCTTCCCTATCCTTTCTGGTCAGTCATCTAGTATCCAATGCAGAAGCTGCGAAGACATTTGTTGATGGGAGTTTGCAGTAGCCTGCGAGAAATGCTTTTGACGAGGCATATGCCAAATCTCTGAACTATACAGGAGAACCGATTGACTTGAAATTAATGTCGAAGGTCCGAACCCTGATTTTCCTGTTGAGTGCAGCACATTAACCTACTGATTTTAGAGTAGTAAAGGTCTGTCTTTGCTTTGATATTCTCGTCCGTGCCGCCTGTAGTTGGAATGATGCCGCCTAGATAAGTGAAGGAGCTGGTTTCTTTCCAATTTTTTTTTCCGCTGACAGTGATTTGTACTCATTGTTGTTGTTGGTTGTTGGGTACCTCTGTCATCACAAGTAAAATTCAAATTGAAAGTTAATGACAACCTTTTTTAAAGCCTTGGTTTGTACGGATTTGGTTGATTGGTTACAGGATTTCATCATAAGCTGACATTAGTTAGAGAACCATTGGAAAACCTGGGAGTACTGGACAGCTGTTTTGCCCTAGTTCAGGACTCTTCAGCAGCACACACCCACCGGCATTCGAAACCAGGACCTTCTGGTTCTCTAACTAATGTCAGCTCATGATGAAATCCTGTAACCAACTTTTTTTCACAACTAATTGTTTAACATTATCAGTAGTCCATTCATAAAAAGTTGTAAATAGCAAATATCTGGATATGAGACAAATAGTATTAGTAGTAGTTCTTTTATACTTCTACAAAATCTACAAGAAAAGCTCCCCCCGCATCCCATGTAAACTTACCTTTTCACAGCTTTTAATTTTTTCCCATACAGATCGGGAAATAGCAATGCCCATATTGTGTTTTGGTGCAAGCCAATAGGTTATTTCAGCCTAACAATGAAAATAAACAAATATAAATGTCAGTACTTATATATCTATATGTGATGTTTAAAAAGCGATAATAGGGAAAAAAGATGAGCTCAGAGTATTTAGTGAAAGGAATTAAAGTACAATAGGCACCCCAGTTGATTGTGATCAAAAACAAACTTTAAAAAATCAATAATTACAGACAAAATTAAGCTTACGAAACTGTAATGATAAATACAAACAGTTCAGAAAGCTTCCTATTGAAATATATATATCAATCTTAATAACAAAAAGAAAAGTACAGTAGAACTTGTACTTTAGGATTAGATTTACAAACTCTATAGTCAGTTCTGATGATTCATATTATAAGTTTTAGCAAATGAATTTTTGTTTATTGAATATATAACTACAGCGAAATAGTATTATTTGTTGGATGACGTTTCGAACACAGTTATAACATTCAACCTCTGCTTTCACAATTTGTCAACTCTCGTATCTTACCTATTCTACTTTACTGCTCCCCATTAGTCTTTCCTGCGTTACTGATAAAGGGCTGTACCATCCTGAGAAGGATGTTGAAGGTAGTTAGTAGGACTAGTGGTGTAAAACTCAGTCAGCTCGTCACTACATTACTAGAAAGGCATCTGAATACATGCGAAAATGGTCTAAAACCATACTCTCTGACCCCCAACACCCCCCTCTATTCCCAACTCTCTCCTTGCATCTCATCCAGGTAGAACCAGAAAGCAGTACAAAATAATATATGCTCGTACAATCAAGTAAAGGAACTCAACGATACCGTATGTGGCCCGTGTTCTAAGTGACAGAAACAATATTAAGCGCGAAACCTATGACTTGCTTTGTTGTTAATAACATAATTTCGGCCCTTTTATTTCTCCCTTATTCTCTCTAATTTGTATTCTATAGTGAACAACCTTCTTAAACATACTTAGCTACCTGAAATTCTTATCATTGGCTTACTTTTTTATTCTTTATTCTATTCCTTCTCTTGTGTATCTACTGGTCCCGACCATATTATCACAATGAGTATTACAAAATTGCCCTGTCATTAACCATCACGTAATATTAGTTTTGTGACTGTTTTTGTGTTCGGCAAAATTAAAACTGACAATCTTGGTTGTGAACGCCACTATCACCATCTTAAAATTTTTGTATCATGCATGATTACTTACACTACCACAACAAACACCACATTAGAGCTGACAATAAAAAAACCCTGAAATGTTTATTTTATGACTGTTTAGTGTAGTTCAAGCAAATTAACTGATCATTTGGCTATAAACATTCTTAAGAGCATTTCATAACTTCTTGTATGATTATAGCTGTTACTGTTCACCACGCATACACATATCATAGCTTCCACTACCCAATACTTAGATAGTACTTAATATGTTTTTTATTTTCCATCCTACTTCTCGGTATTTTTTCGCATTTTTTTGTTAGTTTTGTGTTTACTTTGTTTTTTAATATTTAATTTTTGAAATACTCCTTTTAAATGTGCGATGAAATTAGGTGCAATATTGTAGATATGTGGTGAAAATTCCACACTGTACTACTAGTACTGTTTCTGGAGTAAAGCAAATTATTATTATTAAACAACTTCAAAATTTAAATTTTATAGTTCTCCTTATTTACTTCTCATCCTTTGTAGCATAAGTAGTCAGGGTTAGGTGTTGAATCATTCCTGTTGCACATAATTCTAGTTGACTCGATGGCTTTAGCACTAGGCAAATTGATTTTATCAGTACTTTAGTGTGTGTGTGTGTGTAGTAAGCATCTGGTACTATTTTTGAAAAATGACAATACAAGATAATCGAAGTTTGTAAAGTGTTTTAAACGTATTTAACATACTAACTTATTTTATTCTTTGGAAATGGAACTATACGTTTCCTTAACACATATTTGCATTTCTTCACAAGCGCTGATATTACTCTAGTTTTAAACACATGTTCCTCTATTGGTTGTGATGTAAGGTGAATTAAATGTAGAAGCAACTAAACCTGCGTTATTTTCAAGTATTGGTTTTGTAGGGATTTTATTTGATTGGTTGGAGGATTTCATCATGAGCTGATATCAGTTAGAGAAGCATTGGAAAACTTGGGAGTACTAAACAGCTGTTTCGTCCTAGTTTGGGACTCTTTATCGGTACGTATCCACCGTTCTAGTGGGAAGCCGTGATCAAAAGGATATAGCAGATCGAAGGTGAGGCAGTAACTCATCGAAGAAGACATTGCGAAGTGGTCGCGTTATGCCATGATTCGGCAGAATTTGGAATTCATGGGTGGGCCAATGGATCGGGTCCCAGTGGCTGAGTGGTCTACGAGCTAGCTGCCCTTGTAACCGGAAGGTCCTGGGTTCGAATCCCGGTGGATGAGCACAGATGAAGGATAACAAACTTGGAGGAAACGGCTGTCCAGTATTCCCTGAAGGTTTTACCATGGTTCTTTAGCTGGTGTCAGCTCACGATGAAATCCTCCAACTAAACTTACATTATCCTGAAGTAATTTTGTAGCGGGAGAAGGTAAGAGACTTGGTAACGGGCTTGTTTATTGAGGGAAGTCACACCATATTTATACGTTTTAGTCACATTTATGGTTGGTTAGGTCGGCGGATAATAAACTGTCCCGATTGTTTGTTGATTTTTCAAGGTTAGAACTTGAGACTGGATGCTGACCACACGTGAGAAATAAACGCTTCTACTTCTGTAGCCACTGACTTAAAATTTTGTTTCCAGTATGGCTACTTCTTACCGATCTGCGTCTGTATACTGCTAATAATTCTTATCAGTAACAAACTCCACACTTTTCTGAAAAGTAGGTATACTAACGAGCGTGGTTAAACGCTTGTCATATTTCTTCATCCATAGACCTATTACAATACTCGTGTTTGATGATAAACAAACCACTAAAATGTTGTGCAACTGGAGGTATTTTATTTAGCCCCATTCATACATTTAAGCAGAAGCTTACGACAAGTCCTCATCTACAATGATGACAATCAGTGACGTTTGACGCAGATATACGCTAACATCGGTGTTACGCAACACTTTCACGAAGGTACATAAATTAGTAACTGATTTCAGCTGAGACACACAAAACCTAACTATTGCCTTGTTTTCTGCATAGACAGTTGCTGTACAATTTAAAATTTAGTGCCAAACTAGGAAATAAAACAACAGAATACTGGTAAGTGACAAATTTCTTGATTTGAAATTCGAATTATCCTTGAGTTATCTTCTGCAGCGACTTCAAAGGGTAGTGACAGTTGAAGATGTCTAAAGCATTCATCTGTATTTAATTAAACTATAGACACAACGATGGATGTAACTTTGACTGACTTCGATGACTAAGGGATTTTGTGGATACAACGAAAAGGTTTTATTGGCTTCAAATAAGTAGATGACAAAGTCTTTTAAGACGAAAATGCTGACAATATCCTGAGCCTCTTGAACACTTTGTAGTAAACATGAGTATTTTCGGAATGATAGTCCGAACTTTTGAAGGATGAGATAATGCTACGCGACTGGTCTGCACCAAATGCTAGTGTGTATTGTGAATCAGTTCTACTTTACGGCGGTGAGACAAGAGCTTTGACAGTAGGATTTATAACAAGGTTAGAGGTCTTTGATCGTGGAGCTCCAACATACAGGGGTTAGTAGGTCTATCTAGTCTAACCCTTCCTTCCTAGATCAGTAGTGTTAACTGAAGCAGAAGCAGGTTGGAAAAAAGTGGTTGGGGGTGGGTCGAACGAGAAGATGGCTGTAATCCATGAAGCATATTATTATTTGCTAGCTCCGTTCCTAATGTAACATACGGTTTCAGCAGTACTTTGGCTCCACGACTACCCACAAGCTTTCATTCCATCTTCTTCATATCACTATTAGATGCCTGACTCGTCACTTCTCATTTATGTCCCACTGCAGGACTCTTGATGTGATATCGAGTAAATGTATTCTCAGAGGAAATGCAGCCAATGAAGGTATTAAGTGTAGATTTCAGCTAATTAGGGAGATGTAGACTGGCTGCTTAAAATCTTCTAGGTGCCAGAAATCGATCACTGGAGCACAACCTATTGCCCATAATGATATCAACGTAGCCAAATAACTTCCAGCTTTTTTCTACAATTCTGTTATTTAATTTATTTGTGTTCTGTGAGCTAGACGATTTAACTGCGAAGCCTTCGTTTCCCCTTCCCTAGAATTTCTTGACACAAATAGGGTGAATTTTGTAGATTCAAAATGTTGGCCAGGTGGTGTCGAGTGAATATATATATATATTATATGGCAATACAGGAGTCGAAATATTACCAGACTATACGATGTGCAGAAAGAACCTTACTGTTGAAGCTTTTTGTATCAAGTTAGTATGCAATCAATTTAACAGAAACAAATGAACACCTATCGCACCTATTAGTAGAATTCTGATACTAATAAAAATGGAAGAATACTAATTTACAAAACAATAAGAGCGGTCTCAAGAAGTTGTGATTTAATCTAAACATGATTATGAACAATAGGTTTCATTTGAAAAGTTACAGAGTAAATATTAATAGATGTTAATAATACCAGATGAACAAGTTTTTTTCCTTCTGTCTGTCTGTCTGTTTTCGACATAGAACTTTGCACAAATGTGCGGAAGTTCAAGTCGCCACATTCCGTGTAGCACGCGAAGCAAGAGAAGAAAGTACAAGAAAAGCATAATAGAAACAGTGAGCAGAGGTGTGAGACAAAGGAGTAATAAAGAAATACAAAACAGTTTCATTGAAGATCATAAGTCACAGGGAGTGGATGCATCTGCGCCACTGAGAACGATTTTGAGCCATGTCACCAATTGTTTCCAACCATAGATTTTTACCGTCCCGAGGACCCCAGCCTGGAAGTCTACACCTTCCTACGTGGCTTAGACCAACTGTTGTGGATTTCATTGACTGATGCCAAGTTTTTGTTTGACCGCCGCTAGCTTTTTTCCAGCCTGACCCTATATCCGCTAACATTGCTCGTCGAG